TTTTAATATAACTCCGACTGGATTCGTCTGAAAGAAGAAAGTCATATACACCTAGGATGACTTGAGGGTAAGTAATTTATGGGCTAATTTTCATTTTTGGGTGAACTAACCATTTAAGACCAATAAAAATGTCGTTGTACTCTTTTAAGCTAAGTTGCTGCTATCTCACAACCCCCTCACACAAGTGCTTGTCAATGCAGGCGTCTGTTGTTGTTGCACAGGCTTTGCAAACAGACTTTTACTGTAATATATGGACCTGACAGTAATACCACAATATGTAAGTAACCGTGTTCATTCTAATGCCTATTCTTAAATTATATACAGAGAGCGATCAAAGAATGCCCCCTTTATAATCATTGGAGCTGTCAATCACACAGCGTGAGACGAGTTTATTCAATGACGCAGTCTACACTGCACAATAAATCTCTTATTTACATTGTGTTTCCACTGTTAGTTATGATGAAAACATTTGTGAAAGTGCAAAACTCAAGTGGCAATGATGAGATCACTGCATTCATGCGCTTAACAGTCTGTCATCGGCTACAATGCTCAATAGGGTCTGGCTGCAGACATGCACTTGTCCTCTCAGACTTGCACTCTCAGACACCTGCACTTCCACAAGTGACGTCACTTGCAATCTTTTTTTATTTTTATTTTATTTATTTATTTATTTACATTGAATCTCTCAACATTTTACAACAGTAGCCAGGTGGTGAAGACAAGAAAAAAAGAAACAAAATTACAATGTCACTTGCAATCGCCACCTGCACTCTCTGCTACCTGCGACGTCACTTGCAATTGACACAAATGGTGCGTGTTGCCAATGGAGACGAGATGCTGTGGTGGTTAAACGATTAAAACTAATTTAGTACCATAATGTACAGGGTCCTGCAAGTCACATGTAGGAGAAAAAAGACAAGACCCGCAAATCCGTGGCCACAGAACAGCAGAATATGAACTCAATGCGCAAAGTCTCTCGTTAAGTGTTTTCCTCCTATAGAAAGCCATAAACACTTAATATGGCTTAATGTATTAAGATCCATACAGACAAGCAGACGAGCTCAAAACGCAATGCGTTAAATTGCACGTTGTGTTCATATACTGGTTCATATACTATATCTGCTTGCCTTGTAGTAGGCCTACATTGTATTAATAAACTGTATATCGAATTTCTAATCTTTTAATAGCATATTCATATAAAAAATGAATATATATAGCATATAAAAAAAAATGCAAGTGATGTCACTTGCGGAAGCGCAGGTGTCTGAGAGTACAAGTCTGAGAGTGCAAGTGCATGTCTGCAGGCAGACCCTTCTCACAATGCTTATCGCTGCAACCTTTCATGCGATGGGAGTAGATCTAAATATAATGCTATAATCAACACTCTCCATGATTAGTTAATCTCAACAGCTGTAATAGTAAAAACAGTAAAAGTTTTGAGAGAGCTCCACATGTAATGCTAATTTCATACGCAGATGATGATGCTTAGCCAAGATGTTAGCCAATCATAGCAACGCGGCGTTTCCAGTGAAGTCTCACAGCAGACACGCCCCTTCAAACAGAGTGTTCAAATCAGAGGGCTAAAACCAGGGTAGAAAATGTCCTTTTATTTCTAAATTATTTTTTGATCAATTTTTGATGTTCTTCATGCAGTGAGCAAAGCAGTAATCTATGCGGGCTAAACTGCGGATCATTTTCCATTGAAAAAATACTGTAAAGTCACTGTGCATTTCAACATTTAGGGTCCTTTAGCATCTAACTCTGATCTCCAGGTCCAGACTGAGATCAAGAAGACATGGACACGATGGAACCTTGCGTTTGATTGGAAGGGCCCGGTGGTGTGCGGGAGCTGCCGCTACGGCTCTGTGTTGACGGGCCTTAACAACAGCACCAGCAGTCAGTCCCAGCTGGCTACCGGTGGCCCAGGCAGCCGTTCCACCACGCTCTTCTCCAGCCGAGTCTACCGCAGTAGCTGGGGGCCAACTATCAGTGCCCATGCCACCTTGCCTGGCTATGTGTTCAGTTCGGATGCTGATAGCTTGCCACCATTCATTCCCAAGGAGCCAGAGGATAGTACAAAGCAGGTCGATGACATCCTGCTGAAGGAGTCCCTGCCCACGAGGCCCAGCAGTGGCCTGGAGGATGACGAGGAAACTCTGTAGATAATGGTGCGGTGATAGACAGACAAATTGGGTGTAATAGCACATTGGGCATTGGTTAAAGAGCAAAAATGACAGTTCGTCACCTGCAGTGCACACTGCTTTGGGTGGCAACAGCACCTCTACAACGGACACTTCCTGTTCAAGCTGTGACACATAGTTTTGTTTTTGACACATTGCCATATGCAGATAGATTGATATGTTCATGGCAAGATATCTCTACTCATCACTATAACAAAAACTATTCACAGCTATGGAAATGCTGATGAATAAAGTTTCTTGTTGCTTCATGCAATTCTTAAACTGCCAGCTGGACAATGTGAATACTTTTGAGTTTTTTTATTTTCAATTGCAATGCCAACTATTTATTTTTGAATACTGGTTTCAATTACTAAGATGTCATCAAGTCAAGAGCATGACTTCCACACATTTGTGTAGACCATAGAAGCAACGCTCAGGATAATTGATTTTTATTGAGGACTATTGAATGTTGGAGTGAACATAAATTTAACAAGGTCTCCATTGTCCTTCATGTATTCCATTACAGAGTAAAAATGTTAATAATTTAATAAAATTTATTTCAAATGCATAAAAAAATCTGACAGTGCTGGTTTAATTCTTAAATGTAAGAGTTACTTTCCACTTTATCACCGACATCACATCATGGCAGTTTGAGGTTGTTTAGATCAGAAACTCTGTAGCAGCATGTCAGTCACCTCAGAGGCCCTGTTTACACCTGGTATTAAGATGCGTTTTGGTTGATCTGATCACAAGTGGACAATGCTAAATGCAGGTGTGAACGGGGTGTAAAAAGTTTTGAGCTTGTCGACTTTCAACCACTTCCAGAGGTTGTCAAAAACGCATACGATCGGATTGCTCACATAGTGTGGGCGCTCGTGGTCAAATGAATTCAAGCAGCCAAAAAAGACCACCTTTTCTTTGCCTACTGACCTAATTCTAAAACATCACAGGATGTGTTGTTGAAGTGTTGACAGTTTTTAAACTTTGCCATCTGAAATCATAAGTTTGGTGTGAAGGCAAAAAAATGCCAATGTTGTCTTACCAGTCCTGATTCTAAAACAAACTCACAGCGTTCAACATTGTTTTGCAGCGATCATAGCAGAAATGAAAGCTGCTGCTCTCCGTATTGTTTTCCGTTGTCTCCTTTCATGTACTAAGTTGTGTGAGCCTATTTCGCAATATTAGATCAAAAGATCAGAAAAAGCCCACACATACACTCGCCAATAGACCCTCCCATCAAAATCAGGGTTGAAGTGGTCGAAACTGGACAAAAGAGATGGATTAAAACCCCAGGTGTAAATGGGAATGTGTCTCCCTTGTCTACTTGTGATCCGATTGACCAAAACGTATCTTAATACCAGGTGTAAACAGGGCAGAAGGTTAATTAGCAACAGACCAATCAGGTGTGGGTGCCATGAGACGAGACAGGACTAGCAACGGTAACCTTGCTACGGACTTTGTTTGTTTTTTTTCAGAAATTATTGATATTTTTTATTTAAATTTTTTTTGAATTGCACATATTATGCCATTTTTATGGTTCCTAATATTGTTTTGGGAGTTTCCTACAATAGGTTTACATGCATGCAAGGTCAAAAAAACGCTTTCGTTCGAAAAGATTCGTTCGAAGCAGTTCTAAGATTCGGTCTCTAAACCCCTACTTTCTGTGAGCCTACTCTGCTCTGATTGGTCAGATGGCCCAGTCTGTTGTGATTGGTCTACCGCATACAGCGCATGTCGGAAACGATACACCCATTGCCATAGTTCCGCATTTTGAATGCTCGATAAAAAATATAAACATCTATTATTTATCATGCTTACAGGTTATGATTCAGTGCGTGCTGGTCCAAATAAACGGTACTGATCCATCTTTCTAGAGCAAGCGTTTTGTGAATCCTGCTTTGAACTCCCCAAGATTAGAGAAGCAGACATCAGTAAAATGACGGGAACACAAAAAAGATTGGGGTTGTACTGCTGTGGTACTGTCACGAATCCGGTCCATGAACTTCCGTCTGCTCGCCACCAGAGGTCACTCTTCCACTACTATGGACTCTTGCACCACACCACTGTTGCACTTCACCCGGACTACAGTTCCCATCATCCACTGCACTGATTACACACACACAGTTGAT